GGAGCCAGAAGATCCAGATTGAAGTGTAAGTCCTGCGACTTAGTAACCAAGTGACATGGAGTTAGTGATTTCTCTGAGCCTCAGTTTTTCCATCTATGAAGACAATGTCTACAGCATCACAATGGAGCTGCAAACACTAGGCAAGACAGTGTGTTTGAAAGTGCTTTGCAAACTGAAAAGTGCTATAGAGTCAGAGTGATATTATTATGGTTGTTGTTTTTACAGCTGTTCATGCTTCAACCACTATGCCTCTAATGTTTGTCGCCAGATCCAATGATAGATCAGTTAGAATTACATTTGGCTGCTAATTATAGAAAACACAAAATAAAAGTGACTTAAACAAGACCGTTTATTTACCTCTCATATAAAATCTGTCCAGAGCTGTTATGGTGCTCCCTGGAATCAAAGACCCAAGATCCTTTTTCTCTTTCTTTATTTTTAGCTGTGAATCTTTAAAATATGTTTTTATTGATTTCTGAGAGAGGGAGGGAGAGGAAGAGAGAGAAACATGGACCAGCTGTCTTCCACATGCCCCCCACTGGGGATCAAGACTGCAACCCAGGCATGTGCCCTGACCGGGAATAGAACCAGTGACTTCCTGGTGAATGGGTCAATGCTCAGCCACTGAGCCACACCAACTGGGCAGTCCTTTTTAACCTGTTGCTTTACCATGGGTAGCTTCCATTGCTAAGGTGATCTCATGGTCCAAAAAGGCTGCAGGAAATTCAGCCATTACATCACAATGCAGCCAACGGAAAGAGAGGTGGAGGTGAACATGGCCTCTCCCCTTTGAAATTGCAGTTCTACTTATGCCCACTGGCCACACACTAGCTGCAAGGGAGCCTGGGAAATATGGTTTTTATTTTTAGTGGCCATGTGCCCAGGTGAAATGGAGGAGTACTATTACAAAGAAGGGGAGATCAAAAATGGCCATTTCTCTGTCATCTCTTTCATCTACCTGCCAGTAGCATTTCACCACTTGCTACGGAAACATCTTTTTCTCTTTACTACTGAGAAGAGAATCACACTGCCCTGGGCTCCCTCCTCTCTTCTATCCTTAAATGTTGGGTGACTTGGGTAGACCTGAGCATCTCTTCCTTTTCCATCCATACTCTCCTCCTCCTAAGTAATCTCATTTAGGGCCAAGGATTCAAATACCAATCCAGATGCCAAAGAAGTCTAAATCCAGCCCTGACATTTCCCCTTGATTCCACTATCATATATGCAGCTGCTATCTGACAACTCCACGTGGATGTCTAATAGGTATCTCAACTTTAACGCTATCTCCACCCACACACTTGCTTCTCTCCAGAACTTGCCCATCATAGTAAATGCCACCAATGACTTAAGCAAGGAAATTTTGGAATTAATTCCTCACTTTCCCACACTGCCTACAACCAAACCATCTGGAAGTCATAGTGGCTGTCTTCAGGACATAACTCAAGGTCACCCTTTTTTTTTTTCTTTTTAATATATTTTATTGATTTTGTACAGAGAGGAAGGGAGATGAGAGCCAGAAACATCGATGAGAGAGAGTCATCGATCAGCGACCTCTCGCACACCCCCTACTGGGGATATGCCCGCAATCAAGGTACATGCCCTTGATCAGAATCGAACCCGGGACCTTGCAGTCCCCAAGCCGACGCTCTATTCCCTGAGCCAAACCGGTTTCGGCAAGGTCACCCATTTTCTTTTAACTCCACCACTGCACTCTCATCCAGAGCACCATCAGCTCTCACCTGGACCTTTGCATAGCCCCCCACTGTGTCCCTCTGCTCTCACTCCTGCTCTATTATCTGTCTTCACACAATGATCACAGTGATATTTTAGTAAGTAAATCAGGACAAAGGTGGTCGATTCAACAGAGCCACTTTGCTCCCTCTTGAAACCCTTCCAAGACGACTGTAAAGTGATTTTTTAAAGTTTTCTCTAAAGAACAAAGGGAACAGGAGGGGAAATAATAGTAACAAAAATTCCAAAGCTGGAAAACAGGACAAATGCCAACTGACTTAGCAGACTCAAGAAGCTGAAACCTAACCCAGGGAAAGTAAAAAAGGAACATGATTTATATCACCGACTTCCCCGAAGTCAAGAACTGATGAGCCCTGACCGGTTTGGCTCAGTGGATAGAGCGTCGGCCTGCAGACTCAGGGGTCCCAGGTTCGATTCCAGTCAAGGGCATGTGCCTTAGTTGCAGGCACATCCCCGGGAGGGTGGGGGGAGGGTGTGCAGGAGGCAGCTGATTGATGTTGACTCTCTTTCCCTTGCCCTTCCACTTTGTAAAAACATCAATAAAATAAAAAAAATAAAAAGAATTGATGGTACTAGGTATCTCTGGAAATGGAGGTAAAAATGGGACCGCTCAAATTCAGTTCAAGAGACAGCTCCCCAAGTCATCTCTTTGACCCTGTGTAGTGGGGGCTGCCCCTCCCAGCACAGCCAGAAGCTGGGAGTTCTTTCTGTGGGAGAGGGTAACAGTGGGTGTGTCTGGGCCGGGGACACCAGGTCCAGTTGAGCACAAGAGTACTGTGCAGCCAACAGGAGAATTGGCAAAAGTGTCCACACTGAATGTTGAGACATCCCTGGTCATTTCCTCCCATTTACTTCCCAGTATGCTGGTGGCCACAGTTCTTTCCAGCAAGAAACTGGGGGAACACTTTCTATGGAATCTGACCAGGCCAGGGAGAAATACCCTAACAAACCCGCTTCCTAAGGTAAGAGCCCCACCTGATGGCCACAGCCGGCCTCCAACACCTCCCTCCTGGGCTGAGCCCCCCTGGCTCAGTGCCCCTCTGAAGTAGAGGCAATAGCAGCTTCCGAGGCAAGGCTCTGACACAAGTGACCAAGACCAAAACAACCCAAAGGAAAGAACCGGGAGGAAACAGCAGGGCGGGAGATGAGCCACATCCTGAAGCCATTGCTTTCCGAGGGTAAATCAGGGGAGGTGTGGCTACCGGAAATAAGGACAGGCTATTCCCCCAGCTGCACTCGCCTTCCTGCCACTGAACACACTGAGCTCTTCCCCACTTCCGCACCCTCCAAACGGGGTTCCCTTCTCCAGGTCTTCACATGGCTGGCTCCTAAGGTCACCTAGAGGCCTTCAGTGAGCACCCACTCTGAAGTCCCCACGAGCCACTTCTTAACACAGGTGTCAGCCCGCTGGTGCTGTAAGTGCACACGGTGAGTGTCTCAGGCAGCGCGAGCTGGATGTGGTCTCTGCCGCCTCCACTCAGCTGTGTCACAGCCAAAGGCTGGCATCGGCAGGACTACACCGGCAGCTGTGGCTATGTTCCAGTAAAGCTCTACAGGACACAAACTCGGACTTCCTATCATTTCACGAGTGTTATTCTCCTTTCGATATTTTTTTTCAGCCATTTAAAAACATGAAAACCATTCTTAGCTCCCAGGGATTAAAAACAAAACAAAACAGGCAGCAGGCCAGATATGGCCAAACTGTTTTGATCCATCATCCTGTTTTGTTTTGTTTTGCCATCAAAGTACTAATCACTTCCTGGCATTTTCTTGTTTATTTACCTTTTTAATGGTTTGTTTATTATCAGTCTCCCCCACTAGAATGGACGTCATGAGGGCAAGGGTCCTTGCATTCTCCCTGGGCAACCTCAGCACCATGCATAGCGCTTGGCATACAGTAGGTGCTCAGTGTTTACTGAGTGCTGGAATGATTGCTGTGCCACAGCAGGCCTCCCCCCGTCCCCCTCCTCCGGGCCCAATCCCTCCTGGAAAGGCCTAAAGGACAATAGTGGCACTCCCACCCTCCTCTTTCCCTACCCTTTCTGCTCTCCTGCTCTTTCCCCCTTTCCTGTGAACTAAGAAAGCTCAGTCTACGGCTGCCTCTTCTCAGTGCTCTCAGACCTAGCAGTGCTTCCCAAAGTGTGGTACGCATACCCACAAGGGTACGGGAAGAGTTTGATGGGGGTACGCATTGCACGGGAGTTTGGTGGGGATATGCACTGCACTGTGCTTAGCTGCGCCTAATTCTACGTTCTCATGAGTACGAGGGGTACTCAGCATTATGAAAGTTATAGAAAGGGTACACATATGTCAAAAGTTTGGGAAACACTGATTAGAGAATAGTGTCAGCACTGGTCCAGCCCACACAGAGGGAGCCGCAGGTTAATGAGGCTGCAAAATTATCCCCTTTGAATCCCAAGCTAGTGAAGGGGAACATAGCACAGCGGCTAATGTGTATTGGTGCTCTGAGGAACGCCAACCGTCTGAATATTCACAAGCATTGGGACTTTTCAGCATGATACAATGGGTTACAAAAAAGGAGCCATCTCTACCAATATCCAAGGGGGGAGAGAGAGAGACTCCTTGCTCCTTGGATAGAAGAATTCAGGTCCCCAAAGTAGAGACAGGCACAAGAGACTCTCACCATTGCTGGCACAGTCCTTTAAGCCCACCCCACTCCCTGGTTGAACATATGCATGAACCACCAGACGCAAATGATCTGGTTTCCAATGGGGGAGGAGGGTGCTGACTAGCACACACAGGTGCTCCCACAACCTGGCAGTAGCACTGCTCAACGTGAATTAGTGAAGTGGCACGTGGGCTTATCAATCACAGTTTTTTGTGAGCGAAGTTCATCCTGTGTGCCTGCTTCCTTCTGGCAGGGGCTACAATGAAGTTCCTCAGATGCCCAGCCAGGAACATCCCACCAGCCCTGCCAGAGCCTCCTTTTGGCCACTTCCAGATCCAGTGGCTTTTTGTGACCCACTGTTGTTTAAACACCTATTGCTGTGCTTCAAAATGCAGTGCTCACAGAACCCGGCTGAGGAGCTTACATGACCCAGGTGGCAGCCAAGCCTCTTGTCTCTGACCCCCATGCTTGCAGGCACCCACGTATAATACTTTCCATTCTCTCAGGAGGGACAGGGCTGGCCTGGTTCAGTTATGATGCCTCTGTGGCCACTGCTTCTGTTGCTCTATTGACAGATGACTTTCATTTCTGTATTTAAAAAAATCAGTGGACAAAAGCCTTTGTGTACATGGTAGACTTTACTGAAGATGTGGAGAGACAAAGGGGGTTTTCATAGCAAAAATACAAAAACTTAGTTGAATATTAGACATCCTTGAGCTTAAAAAGACCCTTAGCCATTTCCAACAACTGGTCTCCAGCCGCCTACAAAGGCACTTGACCCTTTCCCCATCCTTTCTGAGGAAGCAAACAAATTCCAGACAGTTTCCTACTCAGTGACTTAGCCAACATTTGTTCTGTCCTCCCCTTAAGACCCTTCACTGGGGCCCTGGGGCCGGCTCTTAGCCTTGAGGCCTCCTCCCTGCCTGTTTTGCCCCATTTTGCATACAGCTTGTTTTGTTCTCTAAAAATAAGTGAGGTATGTGTGTGTGTGTGTGTGTAGAGCAGTTAGGTGAGGTATGTTTGTGTAGAGCAGTTAGGTGAAGTGTTTTGTGTGTATGTGTGGAGAGCAGTTAGGTGAAATGTGTGTTTGTGTGTGTGTGTGTGTGGAGCAGTTAGGTGAAATGTGTGTGTGTGTGTGTGTGTGTGTGTATGTATGAATAGTTAGGTGAAATTTTTATACCCCCAAGTCAGTGATTTTCAACCATGTGCTGCAATAATCATGCAACACCTGACTATTATATTAAGTCAGGAGCGCTGACCGCCTTTCCTTTAGGTTGTCAAATAAAAAAATGACAACAGGCAACACAATAGCTATCCGGTGTGAATGAACCAAAATTATACCTATTCTTTTTTTGTCAGATCAGCAAAAAATATACTTTTGGTGTGCCGTGGAGTTTTAGTAACTCACTCATGGTGTTCAAGCTGGAAAAGGCTGAAACCTCTACCTTGATAGCCTTCTCAGCGCTCACTGGGACTCAGGGTGCGGGCGCTCTTCCTCCCAGCAGCCGCTCAAGTCAAAGCCCTTTAACTCGCGTTTACAAATGCGGTTATGAAGACTCCGAGAAGTTAGTCATCTGCACCAGATCATACGGCTGTAAGAAGGCAATTCTGCTTCAGACGAGCCTGGCTCCAGGGTTTAAGGTTTTAAAAACAACTTGTATAGAATTAACTGGCAAAAAGCTTTTTGTTTTCATCTTGGAACTGACGTAAAAGATAATGGAATAAGAGCCCAAACACAAATGGCCACTGGGTAAAACCAAACACATCGCTGCTTGGCCTCACGTTCCTCCTCTGTGAGGTGTGGCCCACTCCAGGCCCAGCCCCGCCAGTTGTCAGAGCTACCCACTGCCATCACACTTGCTTACAAGAGGTGCCAGCCCTCCTACTTCTGGCCCTATCACCACCCTGCCCACTGTCCTCTGAACCCCACAACCAGGGACAGGGAGCAGATGTACAAAGTATGTAGGAGGCCTGGGCCAGGCCACACCATGGCAGCCCCTTGTTCCTCTCTCCCCTGGCTTCAGTCCTGAAAGGGCAGAGCCTGTGTCCACACATCCGCACGCACACAACACACTTGTGTACACGCACCTTAAAGGCATGTATCTCTTGTTAGATCATCCTACTCTATAGGAGCTCTTTGGTGGCCACTGGGTCACAGGCTGCTCTGTCATCATCAGACCCCACCAGACAGGCAGTATTTCCACATCCCCATCTCCATGGCAGTGCCTGCTCGCTATAAATTGTAATAGGAGGGCAAGGCTCTACCCAAGAGGCCTCAGGAAGCCTGCACACCTCCCTGGCCCCAATGGCATGGATCCCACGGCCTGTACACGTGTGGTCATTCAGGCCCCAGTTGGCTCCAGAAGCGGTGCCTGGTCTACAGGAAGTAACAGACCAGGAAGGCTATGGCCTCCACCCACAGAAGCTGCGTCTAGGAGGAGACAGACTCAGAAGCAGACAATTACATGTGCTTCTCAGTAGTCCAGGCAGCTCCAGTGCTGCTTTCTAAAATTCAGATAAAAAAGACTCATTCCTTTGCTTAAAACATTTCCAAGACCCCCTTCCCATGGAGTAAAACCCCAAGTCCTTACCGAGTGAGGGGGTTTGCCCAGCGGAGGAGCGAGCCCCCACCTGGACGGCTGGCTGCAGCCTCTGAACCTCAGCCCTGCGTCTCCCCCTCTGTACCCCGACACACTGTCGTCTCTGGCCTGGAACACACCAGTCACTGTCCTGCCCTGGCCCTCCTCAGGCATGAGGCTCCCCAGTGCCCCACCCTCAGCACACTCCTCCCACAGCCTGTATCCGTTCACATCTGGTTTCCTTGCTCACTTTTTCTTCCTCAGTAAAGTGCGAGTTCCCCAAGGACCTCGTCTGTCTTGGTCACCAACACATTCCCAGGGCCTGGCACAGCGCAGAATTTAAATAAATATGTGCCACACGTGTGAATAAATGTATGAATACTGCCAGAACGTTAGTGCTCATTCTGTGCCCCCTTCCTCACCTTCAAAACGGGGACAGCACAGTACCTGTGGGGTGAGGGTTAGCAGAGATGACAGAAGTACATGTATATAGCAGGTGCTCTAACGGGTCAGGACTGGAATGCTTTGGCCACACAAGAGGAGTGGCAAACCCTTCTGCATGCGAAGAGGTGATGCTGGTTCCTGAAGCATAAATAACCATTCTCCAGTGGGGGCAGAGGCCACGGCCAAGAGGCAGAGGCATGCTGGGAAGGATGAGTGATTCAGAGCACCCAGGGCATGTCAGTGAGGCTGCAGAAGGGGGGCTGGGTCGGGTCTCCTATCTGCCCCGAGGGTCGCAGTCTGCCCTCCAACAGTGGGACGGACTCTACAGCTCATCTGTTCCCCACAGCGGCTATAAGTAGGTGAATCTCCATTAGGTTACTGAGGTCAGTTCCTAAGGAAAAGGGAAAACTCACAGCCAGCACTTGGCCCAGCAACATCTGCAGACGCCTTCCCACTCATGATACAAAAAGACCCGCCCCCCCCCCACCTGTGCGTCTGTCCCACGGCCAACAGGCTGCTCACACATCCTCCGTGAGCATTTGTCTGGAGGTTCCCAGTCAGCTAGCAGGGCAGACATCATGAGCTCCCTTATCCAAACAGCCCCAGGAAAAGGGAAGGGCAGAGGGGAGAGGGCAAGACTGTGCTGGTGACTGGGGGCAGGGCGGACAGCCTTACACAAACACAATCCCTCACAGACAGGCGGGAACATGCCAGCCCGAGCCAGGGACTTGGGGACCCCACGCCCCACCTCGGCCCCCTGCACAGTAGTGTTAAGCGACTCAGTATGAGGTCTAGCAGTAGTCCGTGTGCTTGTTACAGCTTTTTAATAGAGAGGGGTTCTGGTCTGTGGAGGACAGAGGGAGACTAGGTAACCCACCCAGAAGGAGGGCCAGCCTTCCTCCTGCTTGTGTATCCAAACATGGCCCATCCACGAACGGGCAGCCCCTCACCACTGGGCCCCTTCCCTGAATCACCCACTCCCTGCTCACTCCCATCCCTGAAGTCCAGTTGCTCTGAGGATCAGATCAGCCAGTTTTCCAATCTGACTCCTTTGGCTGAAAGCTCCTACTATTAACAAAGTGTATTCATCAAACACTATGCGAGGCTCTCTACATAAACGAGGTAGGTACTGTTATTACACCCATTTTACAGTTGGGGAAACTGAGGCACAGTGAAGTTAAGGAACTTGCCCCAAGGTCACAGGGCTAGGCAGTAGCAAAACACCAGGATTTCAATCCTAGTGGTCTAACGCTAGCTCCTAACCACCAGTCTGTACCCCTCCGAAATACTGTCTTCCTCATTAGTGTATTTATATATATTATCTTCCTGAGCATGGGGCACACACAGTAAACACCTGTAGGCAGGTTGAATCCCCAGGCACCTGGGATTGTGGTTCCCATTGGGGATGATACCAAAGGGCCACTAGATGGCAGCAGAGAGCCAGGCCCAGGCCTCCCTGGGGAGGGTGCGTGATAAGCTAATTATCATAACGTTTGTTTAGTGCATCCTGCACCAGGCACTTTGTAGGCATTCTCTCTCCTCCTCACTAAGGCCTCCTAACATATTATTGCCTGCCCCCTTCACAGGCTCAGAAGGGGGGAGACATCTGTCCAAATCAGGCAGCTAGGAATACTAGGATGAAGCCCGGACTGCTCAAACTCAAAGCCTGACTGTTAGCAGGAAGTAAACAGGCGGTTGGCTCTAGGCTCAGCGCTGGTTCCACACCCTTTTCCTCCAGCCCTGGGGAGCTCAGAAACTACTGTTTGGGGAGGGAGTGGATGGCCCCGGCTGGCCCTGAGGTGGTCACCACCCGACAGGCACGTTGGCTGGGAGGTAGGTAAGACTTACCGGTCAGAACTGGATGGTCTCAGAGACCACTGGGTCACCACAGACCTCTGACCAACTTTCTTGGCCTTTGCCACCAAAAAGGGTGCTGCATGACGCCAGCCTCTTCAAAACTCGGCAGCCTGCTTCGGCACTGCCCTCCTGCCCTCCGTCTCCAATCTGGAGCCAGTCCCCTCAACAAGCCAGCAGGGCCATGGAATCCACAACCACTGGAGATGAATAAAACTGAACGGCTCAGTGACCCTTCCAGCAACTCAGTCACCTCCACACCTAAACCCACCCCTGGGTCGGACGGGCCTCCTGGTTGGCTGCCCCGCGGTAGGGGTGGCAGAGGTGCCAGGCAGTCAGCTGCAGCACGCTTAGGGAGCCGCGGCACACGCTTGATCATGCACAGAACGGGAGCCACGTGGCCATCCTCAGGCCTGCCGGAGTGGCCGGCAGCAGAGTGCAGGGGCTCCAGGCAGCAGAGGGACCATCCAGCGTGACCTTCAGCGTCCGGCGGCATTCCTGGCTGAGTCCACTGGGGCAATGGCTTCAGAATTGCCCATGATGCATCTCTGGGGCTGCTTCCAGCCCGCTTCCCAGACTGGCCCCCCTCTCAGACAGTCCCTCCCAGGGCTTCTACAGCCAGGTGCGGTCCTCTGAAAATACACATCTTGGGTTTATTTGGGGTTGGGCACTGCAGGCTGAGGCACAATTTGTCCCTGGGGAGGAAGGGTCAGCGTGCTCGGCACTTCAAGGGGCTGTCCCTGCAGGTCCCCACCCCATGTCCCCGAACACACACACACACACACACACATCTCTTCCCCCATCCCTGCTCCCCGAGTCTCTTATTCTTTCACCAGCCGGTAGATGTGGTGTTGAGCCCCGTGTTCGCTGGCTGACACCTCGAAGACATATGCAATGCACAGCAGAGTCTCCTGTGTGTCTCTGTTGGTGACCACCTGTGGGTGAGAGGAAAGGTGAGGGTTAAGGCCCAGACGAGGGCGTGCCTTCTGCTGGACCCTCCGCCCCGCCCCGCGGCGCCCCACCCCGCCCCGCCCCGCGCCCACACCTGCAGGATGGTGAAGTTCTCCAGCACGCTGTTCATCATGTACTTCTCGGGCAGGTGCTTCAGCTTGTGGATGAAGTTGATCATGTACTCACAGAGCGGGGACCGGTGGATGCGGTAGGAGTAGTGGCCGTTTTCGTAGCGGGCGTACTCTGTCTGCAGGACCCAGGGGACAGCAGGACTTAGGTTCCCTCTGGCCACAGCCAGCCCAGGACCCGCCACTTGGGGACGCCCCATGACCCACTGACTCTTAAGAGGAAAGAAAGGCAGAAGGCCTAGAGGCTCTTGTGATCAGAGCCCTCCTCCTCCCTCGGTAACAGGGGCTCGATGGCAGCAGAGGAACCGTCCACCTTGAGCTCCGATACTCAGAGGTGAGCACGGGGGGAGGAGTGCTTCAAGGCAGAGTAGCAGCAATAGGCAAGACGGGATAGATGACGGCTCAGTCCTGACCACACACCGAAGCAGCATGGGGAAGGGTGCACAGGAGCCCGTGTGGCCATGGAACCGTCGTGTATACACACACAGACACACACATATACCGACGAAATCTGAATCAGACTGTAAGTGGCATCAATGTTAACTCCTGGTTGCCCATAGAATTCTGCCCTCTGGGGAACTGGGTGAAGGGTTCATGGAATTATAATTGTATGATTGTTCACAATTACTTCAAAACAAAAATTTAATTTAAAATGAATAACTTGAAGTGCTTTTTACAAACAGCTATTTCCCCGATTCCACCCTGGAGATGCTGGGGTAAGTGCTGTGCAGTGGGGTTCATGCATTGGAAAGTTTCAAAAGCTCCAGCGATCTAGGTGCAGCCAGGGGTGAGAACACGGGGCAGGGGGTGCCTCCTCCCTGCTACCAGCCCGGCATTTGGTCGTGATCAACATGAGGTGGGTTATCAATAACTAAGAGACGGTGAGGGTGAGACTGCATTAGTTCAGGCAAATTTGGGAGAAGCAGCGGGCATGCGTGAAGAACAACGTGAAACAGTTTAAAGGTCTGTTTCACAAGTGCACAGGGTACTCCTACCTCCACTTTCTCCACCACCTGCTTGCCGAACGAGCAGACCTTGGTGGAGCAGGTGATTATCATGTTCTCGGGACTCTCGTACTGGCTGGAGACCCCGTAGAAGGAGCTGCCTTCGTCCTCCATATTGGTGTTGAGGTCTGCCTGGAGACATGGGAAAGCCAAGAAGCAGACAGGTAAGTGAGCAGGCCCACGATCCGGGCGGAGACAAGGACACCTCGGGGGCCCCAGCCCAGGTACTTGGGCCAGGAAGCAATCGGGAGGCTCTGAATGGAACCTGGACAGTAGGCGGCTGGAACACTCCCACCTTTCTTCTCTTGCACAAGGTGAGGTTCTGCTGCCTGAACTACAGCGAAAAACACTGGGATCTGCATCAGTTACAAGGCAAAAACTTGGACTGTGCCTGGAAAGAACTGGCAGGAAGCTCAAGCGCCTGGGAAAGGCAGGCACCTGTATAGGCTGGGGGGGAGGGGGGGGGCGTTGAGAGGGAAGCATGAGGGGTCAGGGGGCATCTGAGGGACCAGGACATAAAATGATGTCTCTCAGACTTTAGCCACTGCTGGCCTCCCTTTGTTTTGTGTGTGTGTGTGTGTGTGTGTTTTAATACATTTTATTGATTTTTTACAGAGAGGAAGAGAGTTAGAAACATCGATGAGAGAAAAACATTGATCAGCTGCCTCCTGCACACCCCCGACTGGGGATGTGCCCGCAACCAAGGTACATGCCCTTGACCAGAATCGAACCCGGGACCTTCCAGTCCGCAGGCCGACGCTCTATCCACTGAGCCAAACCAGTTTCGGCATGGCCTCCCTTTGATTAAGGCTACATTCATGTACCACCTATCACAGGTCCTACTATGCCCCTAATGGTTTCTTTTAAATCAACTCACTCTTATTCCCTAACTCCATTCTTGGCAATACAGTCACGAAATCAGAGGTTCTATTTTTCTAATATACATGAAAATAATTGCATTTCTTTCCTTTTCTTTTCTTTATGTTTATTCATGTGCCACCTAAAAGAACACTATGCACCAAGCTTTGGAAGGGAGAAGAGCCTCTCTCAAGCTCTTCAGACTGTACAAAGGGAGCACTGCCCCAGCACCCCAAAGTGACTGGACATGCCCTTCATCGCCCCCAGCCAGCAAGACCTGTTCAGTTGGCCTTGCCTCTTCCAGATGGTAAGCACCCTGGAGGCAAGAACTAAGATCTCCCAGGGCTGGGTGCAAGGATGGGCCTTCAATAAGTCACGTGTGGCTGTTCCACCGCTCACCTCTGGGTGGCGCCCGGTGAGAAGAGAGAGGTCCCTTGGTCCCAAGGAGGGACCCTGCAATCTCCTGCTGAGGAGGGGAGTCCTCTCAGCTCCAGCTCTGCCCCAATTCAGATATACAGCAGGGCTTCTGCACCTCTCCCCACTCACCTGGCCTACCAATCAGTCACCGTGTATCCTGCCCAGCCCCGCAAAGCGAGGGCAGCGGGGGCCCAGAGAGGCTGAAACACTGTCTTTGCTCTCAAAGAACTGAAACTTGTGGGAGAGCAAGCAGGATAAGTGAGCTGGTTGTCGGGGGTAGAATGGAGGGAAGGGGGCTGGGGAAGACAGAGAACCCACAACGACAATCCAAAGTCTGCCCCGGCACCTGCCCCGTGGTGACGCTGCAAGCCCAGGAGATGCCGGCCAAGAACGCAGACAATGCACCCAGATGCCCCACCTCGTCCTCAGTGCCTCTTCTTTCCGATTACAACCCCACCCTTCTCCTTCCCACCCCTGTATCCCCCCCATACTCTAAGCACATCCCCAAACAGGCTGCTTCTCTACTCACTCAGCCCAAGAAGAAAGCTGCTCCCACTACATTACCCTGCAAGGTGCCCCCCACCACTTGCCTTCCTGCCCTCAGAATGCCCCTTGTTCCCTATCTTCCACCCTATTCATAGCTGTGGTGCGGGTGGGCAGCTCACAGGCCGTGCCTGGAACAGGTGTGGGGGATCGGGTGACTGACAGATGAGCTGGACAGCCGTAGCCTGGGTGTGGGGGCTGGAGGGGCTCAGATTCATTGTCATGTGCTGGTATGTGCCTGGGAGAAATGTCAGAGCCCAGAAGGGAACAGCAGACAGTCTGGGGTACTCTCTCCCTTCGTGGCCTCAGCCCAGCTCTGCCCAGCATTTGCAATTTGCTGACAGGCATTAATGGTCATCAGTGTCCAGGAGTCCCCTCTCTCCACCCCCCAAGAACAGAGGTGTCCTCTGCTGGTCTCACATGTCCTGGGGAGGAGGTGAGGTCTCAGCTTCTCAGTCCTGCTCCAAACCCCACCGTATGAGTCCAACAGAGCACAGCTCACAATTCAACCCCTCCTGCACCCAGATGCCACTCCCAGCCGGGAACAATTTGTCCTGGCAGTCCACCGAGCCACTGCTGCCATTCCTTCCATAACAGCAGCCCTCTCAGTGGGACATCAAAGTCCTCCTCTCTCTCCAGCGAGCTCTGATCTCCCCAGCATGCCTGCACAAGGCCTGGGCGGGAGCAGAATACTGCTAGCAGGAGAAGAAAGAGAGACTTCAGGAGAGGGGCACTGTTTCACTGTTTCCTTGCCTTTGTCATTGCCCGTGGCCAGTCTCACACTAGCTGATGGGCCGGGGAGGGGGTGGGCAGGCCAGGGCCCAGGAGATGAGGCTTCAGATGTCTGCAGACTCCAAGCTGCCTGTGAGGACCCCATGGCTGGTCCAAAGTCTCTTGATCTGTGACCAGGAGCAATTCTTTTCCCACATTTGCACTTCCCTGGTGCCTCTGCCTTCCCCAAGAAAGAGAAAGAGCAAAGAGGAGATGCCTGCCAAGATGTAGTGGCCACTGACACACCCCCATCTCTGATTTCTCTGTCCTCACGCTGCCCAGGCCTCTGGCCTACTGCCTCCCTTCACTGCCATTCCCCTCCCTCTCCCCCAACCCCCCCCCCCCCCAGGTCCTCAGAGACACAGCTTGTAGCAAGCCCTCAAAACTGAACGTTTCTTTCTTTTTTCAGATGGAGAAACAGAGGCCCAGAGAAGGTGAGATTTGCTTGTTGAGGCCCAGTGTCGCCCGCCTTGTGCCCCCCTGACACTCTGGAAGGGCCATGCGTGGCCACCACGCTCCCCTGCACAGCAGTTCCGGCCCCAGGACCCTGAGATCCATTCTGGATTCTGCCACTCGGAATGTGAGTTCCTGGAAGACGAGGGCCACGTCGGGTCCGCACAGCGCAGGTGGTGTGCACAGCCCAGGCCGGAGCACGGAGGCCAAGCGTGGAAGCTGCCTCATCACGTGTCCTGGGCCCCGCTCTTCCCTCCCTCCCTTCTCCTCCCATCAATCCCACCTCCCACCTCCTCACAGAGGCAGAGTGAGGGAGAGGGCATGGGCCACGAGCACGGCTACGAAACAGACAGGACAAGGGACGGCTGGGCTCTAGAAAATCCAAGAAGCCCCACTGCCCAGCTCTACACTGAGGGCACAGGGCTGAGTCTGCTCTCTCTGTGCCGCCAAGATCCGTGTTCCTCGGGGTCTGGGGATCCTTTTCCCGGCAATCAGAGCCTCCTCTGACAGGAGGAGGGGAGCACCAGGATCCTGCATGGAGTACTTGGCAAGGTTTAGTGTAATGGTTCTGAGCTCACACCCTGGAGCCAGACCGCCCGGGTCTGAATCCTGGTCCTGCCACTAGGAAGCGGGTGAAGCCGGCAAGCCACTTCACCTCTGTGCCTGCCTCCCCGAGATGGAAGGCGGCTGTCAGTTCGACCTACGCTGGGGGTGTGGTGAGGACAAACATGCTGATGGAGGTGATGTGATGCAAGCAGTGCCCGGGGTCATCTTTCACCGACCACCACACACCTCGCTGTGTGTGGGTACCAAGCCCAGAGAGAGTTCATCCTGGCCGGGTAGATCAAGGCTGAGCCCCTCCTTACTCCATGCCTCAGTCTCTCCCCATGTGTGGAACTGGAGGCCCAGGATGGTCCTCATCTAGATGGTGGCTGGAAGAATGCAGAATATTATCTCCAACTAACAGAAGGCAGGAGCCGGTGAAAAGAGCCCCCAATATGCCACCTCCCACTCCATGGTCTTTTCCCATAAATGCCTCCTGCTAACCAGGCCTCCCTTCTGACCCTCGGGGTAGCTGAGGCAGTGCTGAGGAGCAGCCCAGATCACATCAACCAAGCTCCTTCTCCGAGTCAAGGCTAAGCCTGGACAGACTTGGGGTTGGGGAAGGTGGTATAGGTCGAAGGGAAGGCCAGAAGCCTCCCTACGTGCAGAGCAGGAAGGGAGCTACCACAATGGCTCTACAGGGACAATGCTTTCCAGCTGCCCACGGTAGAGCCTCCTGGTTCCAATTCCCATGGTCAGGCAGGAAGGGAGAGTAGGGAGAAGAAGTAAGACTGTTTGAGCCCTTTCCGGCTGAGGTCCTAAAGAGACTGCTGTCCCTCCCCGGGCCTATGGTATAGCAGTCTCCTACTTGTTTCCAGTCTGGACAGCTGATATACCCAACTAAGCACAACTCTGGCCATGCCATGCCCTGTTCAAACACTCCAGTGATTCCTCATTACCTAAAGAGAAGGGACAGCAAATACACAGTAAACGTGGCACTGTCTTCCCCCGTGACAGGCATTACCAGTCAATCCAGCACTCTCTCTCCACACCCTCTTCAACGCAGCCTTCCTTCCAACAACGATGGCCAGGCCACTGCAGTGACACAAGGTTAAACCCATTTTTCTGGACACCCGGTTAAAATGGGTTACAAACCACACAAGTTCATTTTTCCCCTTCCAGACAGCCAACTAGAATGATAGCGAAGAACTTTTAAAAATGTGCTGCACCACAAAGGCGAAGGAAACAGAGAAGAGGCCATAATGACAGAGTTCAACAAATTTGAGGAGCCTGAAGGTGGACCAGAACTAGAATGGATTCTGTGGGGCAAAGGAAGCAAAAGGAATTACAAAAGTGCTCTCTGAAGGAAGACAGACAGGAAGTGAGCTGATGTACTTGAGAGAAGCCTTGAGTAGCTTGGCACTAGAGGGACCAGTATAAAACACAAGGAGCTGGCTGAAGACTGAATACAGAGTGGACATAGGGTGGGCAGGCCTCCAGGAGGACCTTTCCCACCCATTAGCAGAGGATGAAAGGGTAATAACCTT